TCTGGCAGTGGCACCAATGAAGAGGCTTTGGAGTCTTTAACGCATGTAGTGAAACTGGTGTAGCTCCTCTGTACAAAATAATGGCCCAACAAACAAACATCGGGGAGCTCCTCTCCATGCTGGATTCCTCCAAGTTGGGTGTGCGAGATGACATAACAACTGTCTTTAAAGAGAACCTCAATTCAGGTAAGCAAAATAAAGTAATTTTTGGTGCATTTGCAAATCAGAAGAGATTGACTTAGATGTAAATAAAGTCCTGATGGTAAATTTAAATTCTTATCTAATGAAAGTGGTGTTAAAAAATATCAAATATGTGGATTCACTATATATGCATGTATTTTGAACTTTTAATTAGGAAAGTATTCAAATATAGCCACTCACACATATCTATCTACCCACCCACCACCATTGACCAATTCTGACTCATAGCTCAAATTGTTGTTGTTAAGTGTGGTAGAGTCAGTTCTGACTCATAGCAACCCTGTATAGATTTTCTGAGGAGCAACCGGTGAGTTTGAACCAACGGCCTTGTGGTTCAAAACGACCTTGAGGTCGAGTGCTTATTTTAGCACATACAGAAGTGAAAAAAAAAAACCGTATCATGAACCCCATGACCCAGCTTCAAAGGTTTTGCCTTTCTTATCCCATCCATTCTTTGTGATTCCTGCCCACTTTGTCTATTTTAGAGCAAATCCCACATTTATCATTTCATCTAAAAGTAATGTTTTTAATATGGAAAAAAATTTAGTTCCATTTTTAAGCAAGAAATATAAATTTGAACAGTACCTCTTTTTGCTTAAATATAAATTTGAGCAGTACCTCTTTTTGCTTAAATATAAATTTGAGCAGTACCTCTTTTTGCTTAATAGGCTGGCCAAAATAAAATGTTGATAATAGAAATGAGTACCGTTGTCAAAGGATAAACTGGAAGTCAGCCTTTTTGGAATATCCATCATCAACTCTGGTAGTATAGTGGTTATGAGTCAGACTGCTAAGCTTAAGGTCAGCAGTTCGAAACTACCAGCCGTTCCATGGGAGAAAGATGAGGCTTTCTGCTCCCGTAAAAATTTATTGTCTTAGAAACCCTACACAGGGTCGCTATGAGTAGGAACCCACTCCACAGCACACTAACCCCATCGTCACCACCACCATCATCAATTTAAAGCACATACCATTTGACTCACTTAATTATAGCCGTGAATGAAATATGTGACAAATAGGTAAAATAGAAACATCCTTCAGTGGGTGAATGACATAGAGCCATGTGTTGTTAATTGCTATTGAGTCAGTTCCGATTCATAGCTACCCTGTATGGGGTTTCTGAGGAGTGGCTGGTGGATTTGAACTGCTGACATTGTGGTTAGCAGTCCAGTGCTTATCCTACAGTGCCACATCAGGACTCCAGACTCATATAGTAGAGAAGTATGGAGTGAGTGAAAAGAATGAGATAAACTGTATTTACTGACTTGGGAAGGTGTCCACAAAATGAGACCTACACACTGTACTCGTGGACATGACAGGCGAGAGAGAGTATGCAAGTAGGAACAGATCTATCTTAAGAATGTGCTGGGAGACATTATTCTAATGTCACCTGGCTTAAAGCAGTAGATAATTGATTCTTTTTCTTTTTAACTTAAAATTACAATTCATGAAGGTAGCATTTTAATGCTTTTATAAGTATTTAGGCAAATAAGTTTAGAGTTATTCTGTTGTTAGAATGCAAGGAGACTTCAAAAAGTTCATGGAAATATTCCATTTCAGAAAGAAATGCAATGCTACATGTGACTTTGGGTAGCCTATGAAGACACATTTTCTGGCTTTTGTTGCAGAAAATTATTTTAGGTACATTTAGACTGTTAGAAGAAATGACTTAATATAAACTGCCCTGCCGTTTATTTAGACCGAGGCCCTATGCTTGTAAACACCTTGGTGGACTATTACCTGGAAACTAATTCTCAGCCGGTATTGCACATCCTGACTACATTGCAAGAGCCACATGATAAGGTAACTGCTGAAATGTAAGAGTAGAGTATTTAGTACATTCTCTGAGGGTGGAGTGGTGTAACAGTAATTATATAAATCTACTGCACAGTTTGCCCAGGGTATAGTCCTTTGACTTCTTTATTCCACAGAACACATTGTTCTCCAATTATAATTACATGTGAAGATAATTTGCAGGTCGCATGTTTTCCTTTACAAAATAAAACATATTTCAGAGACTTCTTTAGCTCTTGTTGTTTAATGAATTCTCTAAGTCTGATACTATAATTGGACAGTGACAGTTTGACCCATAAGTTACCCATCTTTAAACTCTTGCTTTGCATAGGATTTTTGGCCTTTTATTTAATACAGGAAATTCTGTAAATATATGTACCTAATGAGATTTGTCAGTCATATTCTCCAATACCAGGTACTTGGAAGACTCGTTTGGTGTGCTTCACTTTTGTGGTTTCCTTTGTTTGCTTGTTTGGTAAACAGCTAACAAAATTTTGTAATTGCAGACTTTGCAGACCTTGCCATTGTGTACCATTTATCACATATTTTGTATTTTTTGACTCTGGTGAATTTTAACTTCTACTACTACCTGATTTATATTTGGAACAAACTATGTAAGTTGAGCTGCTGTAGCAATACGTGATGGCTTCCAGCTTGATCCCCTGCCAACTTCAGCAAGTTGGTTTTGAACCCAGGCTTGGCACCAGTGGTTAGTGTAAGAAGTGGCTTATTTGTACTTTAGAAAGAGGTGCTGCATAGACATTTCCTTTCCTTTATGCACACCTGTATTATGGGGATCTTTTTCAGGAATTGTAAACTGGCTGCCGGTCTCTCAGGCTAAATCCGGAAGCATTTTGTTTGCTAATTTGCTTTAAAACACTGTTGGGTTTGATCTCTTTATTTGCTTGGTCCTTTCTTTACATCAAAAGGAAGATTTGGGAGTATATATACCCTTGCTGCTTTAATTTGGGTTACCTTCATACATTCATGTGAGGATTTCCTGTTCTTTTATGTGTTCAGCACCTCTTGGACAAGATCAACGAACATGTGGGCAAAGCCACCACTCGTTTATCCATCCTCTCTCTCTTGGGGCATGTGATCCGACTGCAGCCATCATGGAAGCACAAGCTCTCTCAAGCACCTCTTTTGCCTTCTTTACTAAAATGTCTCAAGGTAGGATGTTTGCAAATATTTTAATGAAATTATGAGTATAATTTCTGAAACTTTGAACAACTTAAGCACTCATGCTAGATTTTAACTTTAGAGTTTAAAAACAAACAAACAGACTTCTGGCAATTGGTTTTTCTCAAAGGCGATGGCATATAGAATTGGTACTTGATGAATAAGTTCTCACAGGCATCACTTTGACTGTTTGCTTTTGTCCAATATAGTAAAATTTCAGACAGATTGGTTAAAACCAAACCTCTTCTATGTCATCATCTTCTAGTCTTTCCTCAGTTAAAAATACACTGCTTTCTCTTTTGGGAACCCCTGTTTCTTTTCTTTTTTCCTTTTTAGCTAATAGCTGTGGTGGATTAGTAGAAGAATGGCTTAAAGCTTCTTTTAATCATTGAGAACATGTTCTAATTTCAGCCATAATTAAGGTTTTGTTACTATAAGGCCAAATGAACTGCAGTCTGATGTGGTTTTTTTTGCACTAAATTTAGTGGGGGTTTTTCTATATAGGGAGTCATAACCTAAGTAGAACTTACGGTTTTAGTTTTAACAGTAGCTTGCTGAAATACCCAGAGCTATTTGCTTAATTTATTTTGGTTCCTGGACTTTCTTCCTATCTGTAAAATAAGAAAATATGGTTAATATTAACTGCCTGTACTTCACAGAGACATAAAAATATCCACTCGTATTTGTTCCAAGATGGCATTACCTTTGAATTCGTCTGCCATAGCATCATGCAAATTGATTTTTGTGTCTTCTAAAAAGGGTAACTGTGTTTCATTTTCCTTAGAGGTGGGCCTAAGGAGTCACATTGTTAGTGCATTGTGGTGGTGGTGGTGGTGGTTATGTTCCATGGAGTCAGTTCCAACTCATAGCAACCCTGTACAGGATTTCCCATGACTGTGCATCTTTAGGGAGCAGAAAGCCTCATCTTTCTCCCACAGAACAGCTGGTAGTTTTGAAATGCTGACCTTGAAGTTACTAGCCCGATTCGTAAACACTACGCTACCAGAGTTCCTTAGGGCATTATAAGAATGTTCATTTAATCTTAAAGAAAAAAGGAACAGTATTAACAACTTTTTTTTTTTTTTTTAAATTTAAATTGAGAATATTATCCAGTTTGAGACATATTTAGGACTTAGTTCAGATTGCAAAGCACTATCCTACCAAAAAGATAAGCTTTGGAAATTAATCATGGACTAATAATACTTAAGTCTGCAGTTAGAATTTGATGGTGCACGGAACTTGGGTTAGTCCTTTCTGTATAGAAATCATTATTTGCAAGGTAGTATATTCTCCTTCCACTTACCCATATATCACCTTCTCACCAGATATATCTGCCATAACAAAAGGCTTGATGCTTGGTATAAGTCTAAATTATTTGCAATTTTGTTTCCAGACTCATAGATTCCTTTATCATAATAATAATGCTGTCTCAGCCTGCATTGGTAGCCTTTTGATTAATATCTTGTTTCTTAAATCTGAATTGCAGTTACTTGGCAAATATTCATGATTTAATTATGGGTCAGGTAAGCTGTAACTAGTCTCAGTTGATTCAATATCCATTGAGTAGTAAGTGTCTTCAGTTGACCTAAAGTTATTTGACCCTATAGGAATGTTAGAGGTCACCATATCATTTCTCATTTACTGATCTCTAAATACTTCTCTAAGGATTTCTGGTAAGTGTCATAGTGGTTACGAATCGGGCTGCGAACCACAAGGTCAGCAGTTTGAAACTTACCAGCTGTTCCGTGGGAGAAAGATGAGGCTTTCTGCTCCCATAAAGATTTATAGCCTCAGAAACCCTGTACAGGGTTGCTATGAATTGGAACCAACTCCACGGCACATAACAGCAACAACAACAATCCTTTAAAACGTAGTTATTTGTCCAGGTATAGTAATTTTAAAAAAGTTGACAAAAGTTAATATTTTAGAATTTGGCTGAGTGATAAACCATACCTCTGTTCTGCTACAAAAAAGAAGACCCTCTCAGTGCTATATATAGGGCATCCTAAGGCTCTAGGGCTTGAGCCCCCAAGACAAGTGTAAACCCATGACCTGGTTGAGTTTGTATTGGCATTGTAAATGATCTCACAGACTTCCAAATAATTAAAGTAGAGCTGGTCTTCAATAGTTTTCCTGTTGAATCTATTGCATTGGTGTCCCCCACCCCCAAATCCTTGTTCTTGTTGTTCTTATTATTAAGTGCCGTTGAGTCAGTTCTGACTCACAGTGACCCTACATAGGGTTTTCAAGGGGTGGCTGGTGGTGCTGACTTTGTGGTTAACAGTCCGGTGCTTATCCTCTAGTACCACACCAGGACTTCTTAGAGCTAGGGAAATGTGAGTGAACTTCTAATTTGTGGTTCCCTCGGTATTTAGATCATCTTCGTGTACCATGTAGTGTTGATCCTAATGCTGACCCTAACACTGTGGCTGAAATGTTCTTCTTCTGACTTTTTTCCCTTCAGACTGACACCGATGTAGTAGTCCTCACAACAGGAGTTTTAGTGTTGATAACCATGCTACCAATGATCCCACAGTCTGGGAAACAGCACCTTCATGACTTCTTTGATATTTTTGGCCGTCTTTCATCTTGGTGCCTGAAAAAACCAGGTAAAGGTCTCCCTATATACCTGTCAAACCCTAACGGTTTTATGTTTTCATTGTTGATTACTAGGTTATGTGCTCTAAGGGAAGGACATGGAGAATTGTAAAGTTGAATGATGGCTTTCACTGTTCAGATAAGGAACTACGTTGGGTGTTTCCCTGGTAGGCATATATAAGAAACATGACTGAGGTACCATCTTTATTCTGGGTTTTTTAATGAATTAGTTGTCAGAGAGAAATTGAGTGGTAGGATGTGAAAGTTTCTGATTTTTGTTAAACTGGAGAACAACTTTAATCTAGATTGTCACTATAGGCCTGAACTTGTTGAACATTATTTGTCTTACTTTGCTGGTCTGTTGTGACAGAATACAAACTTCTGAGAGCTTGTTCATTGTGTATTTAGAAGAGGAGGGAAAATGTAGCATGTCCTAATTAGCTTTCTAGTTTCACATGTTGTGTTTTGTTTTGTTTTTTAACAGCATTTGAGAAAAACATTTATTAAACCTGATAGTTGCCTGTTGTCTGAAGTTCTTAGCTATGAGGCACCCAAACTGCCGTGCCATTTTAAAAAGAAAAAGTATCATATAGTAGTCTAAAAGAAGCAAATTGTAGGAATTGAGTTTAGGTTGGTTTTATATATATATATATATATATATATGCCTAGGTGTTTTCCTCCAGATGAACTTTTTTTTATTTTTGTTTTTAATTTGTTATTTTCCATATCATCAGGTAGCACAGCTCTTTCAATATGATTCCAAAGCTTATAAGTATATGAAATGTGGAATCTTTTGCAATCCCAGCATGAGATACCCATATTGAAAGATTGAAATGTGTAAGACCTCTGAAACAGAATACCGTGGCTTCCTGCACAGGATTAAATAACCAAGCACAAGACCCATATGATGCCAGTTTATTTAGTCAGGTCTTCTTTAGGAAACAGGAATGATCTGTCAGTTATTGTAGAGGAGCTTTATGGATACTATAGACTTGAGCTTTAGCTAGGATTGCATGCTGATTTTAAAATGCTCTCACACATTCATTCCACAATGCATGCCTCTTATGCCCCAAGCACCGTGCAGGCCTCTGAGAATGCAGAGGTGAGTGAGACAGTCCCTATCCTGAAGAAACTCAGGCTTATTTGGGCAGTGGAGAAGTAGAATTACAAATTTGGAGAGAACAACTGTCATTATAAAGGTAGTTCAGTTTTGTGAGACTGTTTGGGGTTGTTTTTTGGGGGACGACTGGAAAGAAAGGCAGGGGTGAGATTAGTAGAAGCCTTTACAGGTCACACTAAGTAGATTGGGAGCCACTGATGGATTTTATTATTATTTTTTTAATTAAATGTTTTTATTTTGGATTGAGTGAAAGTTTACAGGGCACATCATCAGCTTCACATTCAACCATTCATATAGCTTGTTTCATTACATTGATT